CCTCTCCCTCTCTCCCTCTCTCCCCCCACTCCCCCGCCTGACCGCCCGGCTTACCTGTCCTTCCCATGCAGAGTTCTCGGTCTTCGGCAGCGCCTACTCCCTGACACTGATCGCCCGGAGATCGCGGCACTATGCCGGCACGCGCTTCATGAAGCGCGGCGTCAACCTCAGCGGCCACGTGGCCAATGAGGTGGAATCCGAGCAGATTGTTTGCCAGGAGTCGCACACGGCCTTTGTTCCCGGGGAGCCGACGCGCTTCTCGTCCTTCGTCCAGCACCGCGGGTCCATCCCGCTTTTCTGGTCGCAGAGCATGTCCAACAGCATGGCCGGCGTGCGGCCGCCCATCACCAGTGCGTCGGTTAAGCAGCCCACCTGGCCGTCGGCCTGGCCCCCGGAATGCCCTCCTGACGCCCGCCTCCTCCCCTTCCCGCTCCTTCCCTCGGTCGCGCACTTGTGCTTGCCCATTGGCCTCTGCCAGTCGACCGGACCGATCCCTTCCACAGCGTCGGCGCCATCCACCTGAATGGCATGATGAAGCGCTACGGCGCGCCGGTCATCGTCTTCAACCTGGTCAAGCGCAAAGTGGCTCGGGAGCTGCTGCTGCTGAACGAGTTCAATGCCATGCTCACGCAGTTGAACCAATTCCTGCCGGATCCGCAAAAAATCCAGAACTACCACCTGGACATGGCCAGCTCGCTCAAGAGCCAGGACGAGAATGTCATCGACGAGCTGGAGGTGCGATCTCAGGAGATGGTGTCCACCGTGGGCTTCTTCTACTCCGGGCGTCGCTGCCGGACGCGCGTCAATCGCGGCCTCTTCACCGGGCAACTGGCCGAGGTGGACTTCGACTCGCAGCGCCTGGTGAATGGCAGACCGTGCGTTGCGGCCTTTTGGCTTTTCCCCTTGCTGCCTATGCTGCCTCCTTTCCATGCTGCTGGTCGGGCTGGCATTCGTTTTTGTGTGTCAGGGCCTGCCGTGTGTGTGTGTGTGTGTGTGTGTGTGTGTGTGTGTGTGTGTGTGTGTGTGTGTGTGACCCCCCCGCGCGGCTGCTCGTGTGGCCTCCCTCCTGCTGGCTGACACTGCATGCGTACTGTATCTCGTCCCCCCCCCCCTCCCTGCCCCTCTGCCCGGGGCCGCCCCTGTGCAGGCAAGCCCCGCCCCTGGAGTTTGACCAGTCCACGCCGATGCTCCAGTGTGGTGTTGTTCGAACCAACTGCGTTGATTGTCTTGACCGGACCAACGCCGCGCAGGTGTTGATTGCCAAGAATGTCCTCGGCCGCCAGGTATGCTTTTGACCAGCGTGCTGTGGCCTTTCCCTCGATGGGCCAGGCCCTTCAAGTGCTGACCGCTGCTGTCATGTGCCCTCCCCCTCTCTCCCCCTCAGCTCTATGTCATGGGCATCATCAGCCATCCGGAAATTGAGTTTGACTGCGACCTGATGATCGAGATGGAGTCGATGTATCTCTACCATGGCAACTACATCGCGTATCAGTATGCCGGGTACGCCCGGGTTGTGTCGGCCCCCCCCCCCTCCCCCTGCCCCTGGCTTGCCTCCTCTCCCGCCTGAGCCGCTAACAGCCTGGCCGCCTCTTGCCCCCTCGCCTCTCCATCTCTCCCCCCCTCTCTCGCCTGCACGCACACACACTCACACACACACACACACACGCACACACACACACACACGCAGCTCCGGTCTGGTCAACACCACCAAGACCTACCGCAAGAACAGCGACTGGACATCGCAGTCTCGCGATATGATGAACTCCCTGCAGCGCTACTACAGCAACTCCTTCAGCGGTGCGTGTCGCTTTTCCGCCCAAGACCCCTCACCTGCCCAAGTGGCCACCTGAGCCTGACCCGATTCCCCTCCTTGGTGCCGCGCACTTCCGGCCGGCCAGATGTCGAGAAGCAGGCCGCCATCAACCTCTTTCTCGGGATTTTCCGGCCACGAGCCGGCGAGCCGTCCATCTGGCAACTGCCGACCGATTACTTCCTTCACAACACCAACCAGCAGTTTGCTCACATCCGGTCTGGGTGCGCTCTTTCCGACGGGCATGCCGCCTGCCATGCGCTGCTCTTGCTTGCTTCTCACCCGGGCACATTTCCCCCGCCTCGCGTCCTCCTGCCCCCTGGGACTGGCAGCTTCCGTTCCTGGGCCACGTTCATTCAGCCGCACATGCGCAAGGCCCCCTTCCCCTCGCCGGTTCCCGGGGCCTTTGACATCCCCTCCGGCGCCAAGACCCGGCCGCGGCCAGGCAGCCGCCGGCACCTGACCCTGGTGCCGGCTTCCTCCTGCCATCCGCCGGTGGCCTTCTCGCCGGCGGCCCTGGCCGCCCTGTGGGCCTGCATGCAGCAGCACCACCTGCAAATCGGGCACCTGACCAGCTTCGACGAGCAGTTCCGCCTCACCCAGGACGAGGCCTCGCAGCAGGAGAAGTTCACCCTGCAGCGGCACCATGAGAACATCCTGCGCGAAGTTCACCCGGCTTTCGGATGCGAGGTGTCCGGCGGGGCGTATGCCCCCTACTCCGGCAGCACCCTCGGCGGGGCGCTGTATGGCGGTGTTTCGACCCTCTTCGGCCCGGGCTACCTCTTCCGGAATATGGGCGACAGTACGCCGAAGACGCCCTCTTCGCCGGCGCCGGTCGGGCGCCTGCTGGCCTCCAGCTCGGCCTCGACGTTGAAGGACCCGGCGCCGGGCCCGATCCCGGCTCCGGGGGGGCTGGGGCTCTCTCCGGGCGACGGGCCGGCCTCGGTGGCCACCATGTCCCCCCTGGCCCTGTTGGGTCCGGAGGTGGCGGCGGCCCTGGCGGCGGCCCTCGGCATTGGCACCCTGGCCGATGTGAGCCCCTTCACGGTGCGCACGGCCCCGGGGGCCGGGGCGACCCCCTCGGCCCAGCAAATTCGCGACCTGGGCATGCTGGTGTCGCGGCTGCTCGAGCCGTGCTCCGCCTGCCAGGGGTATTTGGCCCGGCGGGGGGGCGACCCTTCGCCAGTCAGCCCGGTGGCCCCGGGGCTGCCTTCGCATCGGGATTCCGGGGCCAATTGGCTGTTCCCTCCCTCGGCCGGGCAGGACCCCGGGCTGGGGGATGTTTCCCTGGCGCCAGCCGGCCCGGCTCCCGAGGCCGATGCGGCCGAGCCCCCGGCCGGGGCTTCCTTCCTGTGTATCACCTGCCGCAAGCCCATGGGCCTGGACCTGGGGGACAGGCCCGGCTCCGGCGGCGGCCGCCTGGACGCCACGCCGGACCCGGGGTTTGAGCAGGCCTTCACTCGCACCCGGCGCCGGCTGGCTCAGAGCAGCCTGCCGGCCACCGGGGACCCGGCGGCCGAAGCCGGGCCCGAGCTGGCCGACCTGGCGCAGCTCCACGGCCCCCTCGAAGAGCATGGCTTCTACCAGCGCCTGCTTCAGCAGTCCCGCCTTGCCCGGCCGGAGTACGAGCGCTATGTGGCCGAAACCAGCTGCCCCTTCGTCGGCGATGCGTGCGAGGCCCGGGCCGCCCTGGCCCCCGGGGGCCCCGAGTCCGAGCTCATGGTCGAGGGCCTCCCCTCGCCGATGACGGACATGGCCCCGCAACTGGCGGCCTTCTACAATTACCTTGTCCGCCGATCGACCCTGCTGGAGCCGTGCCTCTTCCCGGTGGATGTGGCCCTCTACCGTGCCCACGTGCAGGTGGGTCTTCAGACCCCCGGGGTCGAGGCCGGAAGCGGCGCAGCACGGGGCGCGGGAGAGCACCCGCCTGCCGGGTCGCCGGTCCGGCCGGCCTCCCGGGCCCCGGGCCCCGGCTCCGCCCAGGCAAGCCCCCGATCGCCGGGGCCGTCTGCCATGGCCGGCGCCGGCGCCGGCGCCGCCGGGGCCCCTTCCGGCCCGGATGCGGACTTCCGCCTGGTCAGCCGCCACTATGACCCGCCCAACCTGGGGATTTCCTCGGCGGAGAAGCTGCGCGCCATCGGCCAGTATATCGAGCACGTCACCATGTCCCGCTTCGCGGCGTGAATTCGCGCCACCTCTCGGCCACCATGCGCCGGCCAATACACCCCCTGCCTGCATACACACGCACGCACGCACGCAAGTACGAAGAAGAAGAAGAAGAAGAGAAGGAGGAGGAGGAGGAGGAAGAAGTATGGCTGCTTGGCACCGCCCACCGGCCAACGCCCGGGGCCATCGGTCGGCCCCGCCCCCCGCCCCGGATGCCCGTGTAGGGAGGTCGGCCATGTTCTGGTATATCAGCATCCATCTTCTTGCCAGTGCTCTGTTTGCGGGCGGGCTTCTCGGTCGCCAACGGGCCAGCCGGACTCCCAACGCTGCGGCCGCTGGCGCCGCACCGTCAGCACGGGATTAGGGCACTGGTTTTCCGTCGCCCCTCGTCCCGCCCCGCCGACCCTCGTCCCGCCCCGCCGACCCGGTCCCCTCTCCGGTTGTCTCTTCGGCCACCGAGGTCGGCGGGGGCTGCCGCCCCGGGCGGGGGACCCAGGCAAGCAGTTTCTCCCATCACCCTCCCGCCCCTCGCCTCTTGGCCTGCATCTGCCGCGCATCGCCCCCCTCCCTCCTCCCCAAGACCCTCCCCTCGCCCCTCGCCCCTCGCCCCTTCCCCTCTTTTGCCGGCAGCACCCCCCCCCCCCTCTCCCCTTCCTCTCCGTTCACCTCTGCCATCATGGCCAGGCCTGACGGCGCCGACCTCCGCTCAGGCGGTGGTGCTGGCGGCAGCGGCAAGAAGCAGGATGCCGGCGGCAATCGTGCGTCCCTCCCCCCTCCCACATCGCCTGCTCGGAACACCGTCGGCCTTGCCCGACTGTGGGCCTGCTTGACTACTGACATGTAGCTCCTTTGACAGGGAAGAAGCCTCGCGCCGGGACGCCCACCCCCGACACGGGTGCCTCCGCGGGCGAGTCGTCGGTGACCCTGCTGAAGCCCCGCTCCCGCAGTGCCATGGCCTCCTCCACCTTGGAGACATCATCCCCTTCAGCCACGGACCCGGCCGGTGCGGCCCCCCCGAAGGGTCCCACTTCGATCGGACCCACCCCGACCCCGAAGCAGCAGCCGCTCCGGCAGCAGCGTCTGCAGCAGGCCGCCGCGGCCGCCGCGGCCACCACGGCCGACAAGAAGGCCAAGCCCCTCTCACCGGCGAAGGCGGGGACCCCCCCGGCCGGTGTTCCAGACTCCTCTGCCGCACCGACCCGCAAGTTCACCGTTACTCCCCGGAGTCGCGCTGCCAAGGAGGACCCCCCATCGGGTGTCCCCACCGGCGCTCCGGCTGCTGGAGCCACCGCTGCGGCCTCCCCCGCTGCTGCTTCGCCGGCCCCTCGCCCTGGCTCGGCCACCCAGCCCGGGGCCCCCCCTCCCTCGGCTCCGGCTGTGGTTGCCTCGGCCCCGGCCCCGGCCCCGACGGCTCCCGAAACTGGCGCGCCTACCGCTGCCTCCACGGCCGCCAGCGTGACTCCCGCGGCCCCTGTTGTGGCCCCTGCGGCCGGACCTGTGCCCAAGTTTCTCCTGCGACTCGCTCCCCGGAAGGCTGAGCAGCCTTCCTCTTCCGGTAACACGCCGAGTGATCCCTCCAATGCCGCCCCGGCTGCCACTGTTGCTGCCACTGTTGCTGCCCCGGCTGCCACTGTTGCTGCCCCGGCTGCCACTGTTGCTGCTCCGGCTGCCACTGTTGCTGCCCCGGACACCGCTACCACCGCTCCGGCTGCTCCAGCTACCCTGGTGACCTTGACCACGCCTATCACCCCCGTTGTGCCTGGCGCTCCGGTCCCTTCGGAGAGTGCGAAGCCCCCGGCCGAGGCGCCCTCATCCGTGATCGAGGCCGTCGCTTCGGTCCCTGGCGCAGTGGAGCCGACTCTCGAGTCCGCGCCTGCAACGGCGCCGATGCCCGCCGCTGGGCCCTCCATCTCGGCATGCGACCCGGAGCCCGCGATCAGCGGCAGCGACCCAGGCCCCGCCACATCTGACGTGGATCCCCTTGGCACCGATGCCAGCACCGCCGACACCAGCATGTCCGAGGGGGACACCGCGAGCTCGGAGCCTCTGGCTCCGGCCGAGCCGGCCATTGCTTCCCCCTTTTCCAGTGTCCTGAGGCCGACGGGCAGCCCATTTAATCTGTTTGGCGGGGCTGCTCCCGCTCGGAGTTCCCCCTTCGGTGGGCTGGTGAGCAAGGTGGGCGCTCTGCCTGCCGGGGCCCCGGCCCTTCCGCTGGATGGACCTTCTCCCTCTCCTGCCCTTCCACTCTCGGCCCCCGCCAGCACCGCAGCTGCTGCTGCTGTGTCCCCTTTTGGCGAGAAGCCCCCGGCTGCTGCCCCGCCCTCCTCCGCCCAGGCCCAGGCTGCCCAGCCGGCTGGCGATCGTCCCCAGCCTGCCCCCGTGGCTGCTACTCAGCCTGCGGAAGCCCAGCCAACCGCCACTCGGCCGGAGGTCGCCCGCCCACCTGTCGGCCAGTCAGCGGGCACTTCGATCGAGGCCGGGCCGGCGGCCGCTGCCCTCCCGGGCCCGACCGCCGATGGCACGACGCCCGCCCCGCCGCGCCTCCCCTCGCTCCCGAATGCCGGTCTCAAGCGCGGCCCTTCATGTGCGCCCCCCTTCCCCCGCCTCTGGCTGGCTCTTTCTGCCCTGCCCAACCTGTCGCCTTCCCTTTGCCCCTGCTTTTCCCTGACACATATGTCCCTCGATCCTCCCCAGCCGAGGCTCTCGCGGCCACCAGTGGGCACAAGCGCTCGCGCGCCCTTACCACCAGCCCCGACGGCCAGCTGCCGAAGGCCGAAACCCCGGCCACCACGGCTGGCAGCCATCCCCAGGCTCCGGGCCAGCCGCTGCCCCTGCAATCGCCCAGCCCCGGTGTCGATCCCTCGCCGAAGTCCCAGCCCCTTGCTGCCGGTGGCCCTGAGCCGACCCCCGACGCCGCGGCTACTGAGCCCTCCTCCTCTGCCAACCCGGCGCATGCTGTCCCTGGTGCCGGGGCGCCCTCGGCCCCGGGCTCGGGTCGGCCTGTTGCCCCCGGCCCGGCCGCCGCCACGGCCGCCGCCGCTGCGCCCGCGGAATCCTCGACCCCCGCCTCGTCGGCACCCCCACAGTCCCCTCTGTCGCGGAATATCATGGAGCGCTTCCGTCAGACGCCCACCGCTCCGACACTGACGCCTCTTGATCGTGCGACCCGGGCCAAGCGCATTGGCGGCTCGCTGGCCACGCCGCCGGCCAAGCGCGCCTCACCGCCGCCCGGCCCAGCCACAGATGCTGGCCCCGCTGTGGCCCCTGCCGCCGCCGCCGCCGCCACCACCACCACCACCACCAGCAGCAGCAGCAGCAGCAGCAGCAGCAGCAGCACTGCCGGCTCGAAGGACATCACCCCAAGCCCATCGGCCGGCTCGGGGCCTGTCGCCGCTCTGCCTCCTGCTTTGGCCAAGGCCGCCAAGCCAACGGCCCCGGTCTTCGGCCTGAGCCCGCGCGTGCCGGCCAGAGATCCCGCTCTTGCGACCGCCGCCGCCGCCGCCACCACTCCTGCCCCGGTGGCCGCTCTGGCCGCCGGTGCCACTGCCACCGCCCCTGCCTCCGTCCCCACGACCGATGCGACTGCCGTGGCGCCGGTGCGCCTGCCGGCCGGTGGTGCTCCCCCGGCAGCGACTGCCCCCCCAGCCCCTCCCCGGTCGATTCGCTTTACCCCGCAGCTGGCAGCCTCCACCGGGGCTGGCAAGCCGGCTGATCAGCCCGCCAGCAAGGGCGCCACCGTGCCGGCAGGCAAACCCGTCGACGGGCTGCCGGGCAAGCCGGCCGAAAGCCCAGCCGACAAGCCAACCCATGCCACCCCAACTGGGCCATCCATCTCGACCCCCTGGAGCACTGGCCCAACAAAGCTGACCTTCCGCCCGGGTGCCTCCCGCTCTGCGGTCGCCTCGGCCGCGAGCCCGCCGGCCCCGGTCCCCGAGCCGACCCTCGTTCCAAGTGCCACCCCCAAGGTTGCTCCGCCGCAGCCTGCACCCAAGTCTGGCCCGGGCCCAGGCGCAGCTGGCAGCCGGATCATTCCCCCGCCGACGGTGCAACCCTCTTCCTCGGCCTCCTCCTTGGGAACCGGTCCGAGTGCCTCCTCTTCGACCTCCTCCTTCCTGAAGCCGGCCTCCTTCCGGAAACAGTCGTCGCCAGACATCTCGACCACCGCCGCCCCCGCCGCCCCCGCCGCCCCCGCCGCCCCCCCCCCCCCCCCCCCCCCCCCCCCCCCCCCCCCCCCCCCCCCCCCCCCCGACACCGAGGATAGTGTCCCCGCCCCGGCGCCCG